CCCCAAAACCCCAAAACCCCAAAACCCCAAAACCCCAAAACCCCAAAACCCCAAATCTGGGTATAAATTTGATAATATTTTCTACATATAACTATAAAATAATGATGAGGTCTGTTTCAATGGCATCGTTTGCATCAACTTCTTCCTCAACAATGAATCAAGCGATAGACTTCCACCTTACTCCTGTAGAGCGGGAACAATTCGAAGAATACAGAAATCACGAGGGATATCTTGAAAAATACGGAACTGCTCTCTTCGCTGGGTGGCAAAAGAGGTATTGGAAAATAAGATGTAAACGTGAATTTTACTTATCCTACCAGAAAGATGAGAAGGCAAACGCTAAGCCAAATCCACTCAAAATTGATCTTATCAAAGATCTAGCTAAAGAGTCGGAGAAAAAGTAAGATTTGCCGAATTTTGTAACTATTCTCTAAATTTTGCTAAATTCTTATAACTTCTTGGTTGTAAATTTATAAATTCTCCCTCTAATGAGTTGCTCCAGGCTAGCTTTCAATTACAATGATGAGAGAGTGTTTGAATTAAGGGCTAAGACCAGCCAAGAGAGGGACAAATGGGTGGAAGCACTTCAGTTCTTAATCCAAGTCAGAGACAAAATCGGCAATTTCACTGATGAAAGAAACATCTCTTTAGGCTGTTATTTTAAGGGAGGTACTCCAGTTGAAAGAAATACTCTCACTGAGTCTGACGATGGAAAACTGTCCACTTCAGGCAAGAAGAGGAAGGATAAGTCTTATAAGCATAAAAATATTGGTCAGGAAGAGCTCAGAGGCGTCCTTGATGACGACCAACAGAACCTTGATGTGCAAGGTGGCAAGAATGACAAGAAGAAATCTGAAGCAATCATGAAAGCAACAGGAATCTCTGATTTTTTGGAAGGGATCCCTGAGAAACTAAAGGCTCCAAGAATCCTTTATGGGTTCTTAGGTAAACCTAATAGAAGTTCTTTGAAAATAGAAATGAAAAGATGGGTCTTTCTTATTAGTAGTAGACCTCTAAATCATGATTCATATCTTGAGGATGGGGAAGAGATCGATGAAGATGAGTTACCTCCAGTTCTCAATTTCGATACCATTTATTACTACAAAACTGTGTATTCTGTCGATGATGCTGCTAGTTTAGCAGGTGAAATCAAAAGTATCGATATAGATAATATCCAAATCAGTGATAAGAATGAGACTAAGCTCCATTACTTCATCATTGAAGCCAAAGGAAAGAAGTACCAGTTTGTCTCCACCAAGAGGTTTATCATTGAACAATGGGTTGATGCAATAGAATGTAGTGTAAAAACAGCCAGAGAGAAGCTCTACTCTATTACAGGCAAGATTAAGAATATTTCCATGATCATTACTAATTTTGAAATTGATAAAGATCAACTCAGGGAGGAAATTGAGAAAGACATCGATTTCAAACTTTGGAATGAAGACATGACTAATTATAAGGAGTATGAAGAGGTCTACCTGACTCTAGAAGCTCTTGATGTGATCAAAGATGACATGCTTTATACATTTGATGCTTGATTAGCACAAAGCCCTCCTAGAAAGGACATCATAGAGATGTACATGGAGTCAGTCCATGCGAAGATATGTGAGAGACTCACATATGAATGGAATATTAAGGCCTTGTTAATGACCCCACTTGATATCCTCTCTTTGTGAGAATGGGTACATAAATATTTAACAACTTTAAAGAAATTTGGAATTAAGGATGACTCCTGAGAGAATGGATACCTCACTTTGGTTAATGCATACAAGAGGAAAATTCATATGCAGATCTACCCGATGATCACCAATGTGCTGATTAGAGAAAGAGAAGGTCATATCGAAACTGATGCTGATGGGAAATTGTACACCCATTCTCCAAACGACATTTTTAAGATTTTCTTGGAAGTTTTTGAGGTATTACTAAAGAAGCCTATGAAAGAACTCATATTGGGAGTGCTTGAAGTCCTGCATGAGTTATTTTCCCAGTACCAAAGAGCTCTTTTTCAGATGATTTCAATGGATACAAGTCTTAGCTTTGACTACTTGGTGGCAATTAACAATAATTTCAGTAAATTCTTCGATCTGACGGATACTCTTCTTAATCTCTGACAAGAAAATAAAAGTTTGGAGGAAGAAGAGTACTCAAAGAGTTTTGATCAAAGAACAATGGTGCAATATTTCTCCAAGATCACTTCTAAAATTGTTGGAAGAATCACTGATGAAACCTGGAATGAGATCAAGAGTTACTTCCAAGGAAACTACATGGACCTTGACCTCGAAAGCAGCCTAAACCATGCCTTCATAATTTTTGAAGAGAAAACAGATTTGATGAATAAACTGACTTCTAGAGAGGTTTGGAAAAGTTATCTCAATCGGACAATTGTCGGAATCATCCAAATCCTATTCAATTCTATTACTAGGATGAAGAAGAAAAGAAGTGAGGATGCCATTCAGAAAATACAGAAGGACTATGAGAAAGTAGAAGAGATGTTCTCAGAGTACATGACCAAGAAGATCCTCAGGCCTAGCCTTGAGGTTCTTGGAGATATCAAGAACTTCTTCGAATCATCAGTGGATTTCTTACCCATTTCTGTAGGCAAGATGAGGAAGGACCATGGTCCTGCCTTTAACCTTACAACTGTGAAGGCATTACTAAGCTTAAGGACTGACTTAAGTAAGGAAGAAAAGAATCAGGTGGTCAAGGATTCTTCAGAAATCCTTGATCAATATAAAGATGAAGGTAGAGTCAGCAACACTGGAGTTTTCAACAATGTTGATACTGCATCTGCAGCAGAGCAGTTCAATGATGAGATGAGAGATCCAGAAGAACCAGGCAGAGAGAACGTTACCGTGACTGAAGACCATGAAGAAGATGAGCTAAATCTTGAAGACTTCCTCAAGCAAGGAGGTATTGAAATAGATGATCTTGATGAAAGAGTAGAAGAAACTGAGATTGAAAAGGCAAATCGTGAGAAAATGATCCTTAAAAAGACTCAAAGCGTCAAGAAGATCTTAGGAAGAGAGGATATGTGAGGTTGGTTGTTTAAATCTAACGATAATCTCAAGAAAAAGGGTATTTTTGATACTGTTCTAAACACAGTAACTGACACATTCGAACTAGTTGCTGATAATATCGATAAGAAGAGGTCAAAGAGATACTTCAGGATCAACAAAGGATTCTTGTACTGGTATATTAAGGAGGACTCTAATAAGGCTCAAAATGATATGGATATCAGGAAGATTGAGCACATAGAGATCAATAAAGATAATGACAAGATGATATTGATTGCTATCAACAATAAGATTTACAAGCTGGAGCACAGTAATAAGGACTATATCCAAGAATGGTACAAATCCCTTTGCTTAGTCAGGAGCAAGAGTGAAGAGTACCTCGACCTTAACAGGTACGTGGACACCCAAGTCTTTGAGAAAGTGACTGGAAAGAACATCTTCACTGACTACGAAGATATACTAGGAAAGCATTTCGATGAAATCGAAAAGGAAGAGAGAAAGAAGGAGGAAGAAGAAAAGAAGATTAGAGAAGAACAGCTTCAAAAAGAGCTTGAAGCTCAGCGGAGAATTAAACAGAATGACACAAAGAAGAAAAAGAAAGCTAAAAAAGGTGAAAAGGAAGATCAGAAGCAAAATATCCAAATATTTAACAAAGAAGACATGGTTGAAAATCCCTATGTAAGAGGTGACTCTTTAAGCGACTGAGATTTCTCACCAGATGTCAAGGGAGAATCTGAAGTAAGGCTCAAAAGCAGTACAAACCAAGAGCTTGAGCTAAAAATGATTCCTGCTAGAAGCACTATGGCAGAAGGACATAATAAGAAAATACTTACCGATGATGATAACAAGTCTCTTAAGTTATATAAGTCAAGTACTATTTCTGATTTTGAACAATTCAGTAAGCTAACAGCTAAACTTTACAGAACTAGAAGAGAGCAGAAAGAAGATGGAAGTTAGAGCAGTTTATGAGAAGCACAAAAATGTGAAGAATTCGGATATGTTCAAACTAGTCCGAGACCATGAATCCCTAAGTAGTGATGAAGGCTCTGGGAAAAGTTCTGAAGTATCCGGAGCAAATAAAACAAAGAGGTCTGCCAAAAAGACACCTGAGGGTAAGGACGGGTTGATAATCTTGTAGAAATCAAAAGGGTAGAAGGAGAGAGCGACACAGAAGGGTATACTAACTCTACTCTTGCCAGTCCTGATAAGAACAAAAGGAGGAAGGAAATTGTAGAGAAGGGTCCAGCACCATCCTCTGGCATCTTCGGCTGTTTCTCTTGCTTTAGGAAGAAATAAATAATAATCTCAATGCATCTGTATGAGCTTGGGGTTTTGGGGTTTTGGGGTTTTGGGGTTTTGGGG